AAATGTATGTTATTCGCATATTAATCAAATAATAATTATGAGAAATAAATGAAATATGAATAGTGTATAATATATTTAAGCATATAACAAATATCACTACTTTGTAATATAATTTTGTAGAATTCAGCATATAAAATACAAAATGGCGAAATTCTTTTCTTATAATGTAAAATTTTAATTATACGTTGTTTTCAACCAATATAACCATACAATTTATTCAGGTATCATAAATAATAAAGCATAGAGTCATCAAAGATATACAATTGAAAGAAAAATAAAACATTTAGACCGTGCGTTATTATTCACTGCAATAGTTGATGCAAGCATTTATGTGATATAATTATGCAGAAATATTCTTATATAATTTTTTATTCTGGAAAGGATGCTTGGAATTTATAAATATTTATTTTAAGATTGTGCTAAAACAATTATATAATAGATAAGAGTGTTTACGTAACTATAAGATTAAAAAAAAGACTTTCATTTTATGTAATCTTAGTATTATTATAAATAATTTTGCAATTATTAAAAAGGTATTACTTTTTGATAATCTTATACATGGAACTTATGACACCTGTGTCTTATTTATTTTATCTTAAAAATTCCATAAATTTGTATATGAAAACAATTTTTTTATGTAACATGTCGATTTGCTAAAGTCTTTACTCTTTACAATATTATTTTATACATTCAATAACGAATCGAAAAAAGGAAATATTAATTCAGATTTTTATATTTACTTATTTCATAATTTTAGATTTAATAACTATTAATAAACTGAAATAAGTCAGAAGTACATGCAATAGAAATCTTAAACATAACAAAGGGAATGCTACAGTAATATCTACTCAAGATTTCCATGATAGTAATACAAAATTTTGCATACAGTAATCACAGAACGTAAATCATTAATTTAATGTCAATGTATTTGTCATTGCAGAACGACCTCTAGTGTCGATTCATTATAGATCTTAGTATTATAAAAATATGTACTTAGACATAGTATACTGTTATACCAAATGTTGGACTCATATCTAATGCATATATTGTTTACTTTGCGACTTTTCGGTAGGTGTTGTCTTCCACCATTGTTCATCATAAAGATGATAAACTTTAACTAATATAAAAATATATACCAACATAGTATTTGACACGTACAGATTTGGATAATCACTTGCAACAATTGCCAGTTGCTGCTTTTTGTCCTTCTGTCTCAACTAATCGACGACCTTGGCCACTTGTACTTGCACTTCCTGATTGTTCATTCTTTGGAAGTTTTTTAGCTGTAACATAAGATATTATAATTGAATATTCTGTGTATAAAAAATTAGTAAAACTTTTCGAAGAAACTTTAAAAATTAATATATCTATATATGTATATATTTTGTGTTGTATGTATAGTGTTATGCATGTAACATAATAACAGTTACTATTTCAAATCCAGATGTCCTCTCTACATCACTTGGATAAAATATCAACTATGGTTAAATTGATATGAATGCTATATAAATTTACATTAAATTTGTTTGAAAGACTTCTTTAACAAGTATTAATGTATACTTTAAAATATTTTATGATAAAAGAATGATAATATATTATCCTACCTATTGCCAAAAATATATCATTAACATTCATTGCAGTTTTGGCTGAAGTTTCCATAAAAAGAAGGCCATTTTCATCTGCGTATGTTTGAGCTTCATCAAATTCTACAACTCTTTTATTTGAAAGATCTGCTTTATTTCCAGCTAAAGCTATAACTATAGTTGGACTGGCTTGTCGTTGCAATTCCTTCACCCACGTTTGGGCACGTACAAATGTGTCCTGTAGTTTTTATAAAAGAAATTATGTAACCCAAGAATTTACATTTTCAAAATAAATTTGCAAGACAAAAAGTAATTCACAATAAATAAAAAAATAAAATAATCAATTTATTATTGTTGTAAATATAAAACCCTGTGCATAGAAGTATAAAATTTAAAAAGATGTGCTACATAATGTACATAAAATTGAATATTATCTCCCTAGGTAATTATTTACCTTGAATATTGCATATAATTTTTAGCATGTGTAAAATGTTACATTTGTAATTACTTTAGATATTAAATATCACTGATGTTTACTTACCTGGTTTGTTATATCATATACAACAATGGCTGCTTGTGCACCACGATAATACATTGGTGCAAGACTGTGATAACGTTCCTGTCCTGCTGTATCCCAAATCTCAAACTTTACAGTTGTATCATCCAAACACACAGTTTGTGTTAAAAATGCAGCTAAAAAGAATTTGACACTACTATAATTATAATATAAGGTTATTATATATTATTTAATAAAATTTACATTAGACTATAAAGCATTTTATTTTTTATTTCAAATAATATTGTAATTAACATTTATAAAAGTATTAAAATAAAATCTCTTACCTCCAATAGTACTTTCTTGATATTCATGGAACTGTCCTTTAACAAACCTCAAAACAAGACTTGATTTCCCCACTGCAGATTCTCCAAGTAGCACCAGTTTAAACTGACAAATCTTCCCTTGTGTTGAACCATTTGGCCTCTGGGCTGTACCCCGATTAGCCATGATTACCTACAATTCAAATTATTATAAATTTCTCCAAAAATAATAAATTTTATTGTTACAAAACCAAATTTGCATTATTTTACTGCTATTAACAGATCATATTTTATGCAGTGATAGGTATCAAAAGTTTGTGCTAATATTTGGAATAAAATATATGCATTATATATTCAGTAACAAATAAATCATATATGTATCAATCCAATAATAATGAAAATATTAAGCTTATGCTGTTATTTGTACTTCATTTAATATCATTCGTTGTGTACTTTATAAACAAGCATCAAGCTGAATTATATTATTTTTGTTTTATTGTTTCTTTCTTTGTTACAATATAATGAAACTTTATATGGAATACTTCAACTTATTAATTTGTTATAATTTTTATTATAATTTCCTGAAACATTAAAAACATGAATTTGCATTTACAAAATACAAATTATTTAGTTAAATGTGGAATCTTGATTTTTTCTTTCTTCAATTCTTTACAAATAACAATGACTGAAATAATTTTTCTTTACAAGCAGAAGAATAGGTAGTTAGAATAACTATTAAACCAACATTAAAAGAACTGTGTTTTACTTTATAGCTTTATAGTTGTTATGCTTCAAGCGATATTTAATTAAAAAACATGGTGCTTTTTAATTTTTATTCTTACCTAAACTACTAAATCAACAGATAAATGTCTATTTATACTGGTTGCCCATGCATGATAGATAAGGCTTTCATTTACTAAGTAATCAACATTTAACTAAATATTTTAACTTGAGTACAATAAATTGATAAATATGCATAATGAATCATGAATTCTTCTCTTAAACTTTAAAATACTTAAAGAGAATAAATTTTTTAAAATTAGAATTACCTGACAAAAAAAAGTTTATGTGAAAAATTAGTACTTCA